TCCAGGTGAAGGGAATTAGGCTGATGAACTCTCTTTCCCCTTTTAGTGATGTCGGGGACCGGCAGTGTGAGCGTGGAGCCAGCTGGAAAACTGGCCATGGCTGAACTAGCAGTGCCGATCTAAACACATTGGGTGTGTGACATATAAATAAAAGTGACTAAACAGTTACTGAACGCCGTGTGGGTCTGAGTCATTCACTGAGTACTTCAGACTGACAGCTCAGCTCAAGTTGAATATTTGGGAGACAAAGTTAAAGAGGCAAGGCTGGACATGAGCAGAGGAGGGAGAGTGGATATACTGGACAAAGGATGCTGAAGACGGAGCCGTCAGGCAGGAGGAAAAGAGGAAGATGACAGTGGAAATTCATGGAAATAGTGAAGGAGGATATGCAGAGCAGTCAAAAGAAGAAGAAAAGTAGTTTTCTAGTGCATGTGCGTTAGACTATCAGGCAAAAAAAACAAACAAACCTCAGATCGCAATGATTTGTTTTCTTCCTCCAAATCCTTGAGTTTCTTCTGCAACGACTCCAGGGGGAAAAAGTTTGGCGATGACACACTTGGTTCACTGGGACGGACACTGTGAACACACAGGAAAGAGTTGCGCTTGTTAGTTTAAGTCATTCAACAGACTTTATATATTTTCATTAAGAAAACCTGTTAAAACCCAAAGAACTTTTAAGTTAAATTGTGATATTATTAGGATTAATTTTTTGTTTTGTTTTTCTGAAACAATGAGGAAATATACTGAGCAGCAAGGAAAGGAGGTAATAAAAGGAGACTTACGGTGTAGAGGTAATCGACTCGCCTTCGCTTTCTTCGGCTGCATTGGTGTAGAACTGTAACAGCTCATCTTTCATGGACAGGTCATGGCGCAGCTGAGACACCTATAAGGAGACGATTAACGTCAGAAGAAGATGGGGGGGGGGCATGCAAGACGTTCAGCTCATCAGAGACATACATTATTACACAGTTCCCACCACCAAATACTGAAGCACTGATGAGCACACATATTGTTGTTTACCTCCTCTCGTATGTGCTCCACTTGCTCCTCCAGCAGTTCATTCCTCTCACTGAGGGCCTTGTTTTTCTTCAGCAGTGACTGTCCGATGCGAGCCGCTAACTCCAAGTCACGCTCTTTCTGCAGAGACAAAGCTGCGTTTAGCAAAATGAATTTCAATAGTTTAAACATTTGCAAAGACCAGTGTTAGTAATTTTCCCCCGTTTCAGGTCTACGTAAACTAAACCCCTCAACCATTAGCCTAGTTTAATATATAGATGCTTGTTTCAGCTGCTCCTTTATTAGAAACATGGGTTTGAAGGATCTGTATATTTGATTTAACACAGAGTTTTTACACCAGACAACCCTTCTTAGCGTTTATCAGAATTGCTAAAACCAGCTTTAAATGTTGTGAAAATTCAAATACATCAGTGAAGAAAAGGACAAAACAAAAGAGAGTGGCAAAAGCAACACAATATCCACTAATCACTAAATATGAACCTCAAAAGGAAACCTTTGTACATCAGCCGCACTGGAAAACTCCCGTCAGTCAACATGAGGCAATAATTAAAAGCTTATTGTTAACTAGCCACTCCTGTTTCTATCACTACATCAACAGGGCTATTTATTGTACTATTAAAAGCTACTAGCAAAGCAAATACTGCAATAGTTTCATGTGCTACAAGAAATAAAAATAACTGACATGTTCAGAAATATACAGATCTGACATTAATTGTGTTCGCAGTAATGGAAGTCATGTGTTTGGTGATGGTGCTGTTTGTCTAAGCCATGCTTTCACAATGCTGTCCGGTTGCTCAGGTTCATACTTTAACAGTGACGTCACCCTGTTTTCCTCCCTGCTTTACATTCTGTTGGTCAGCGCAGTCAGCTGAGGAGGATAAAGTTACATTTGAATATCAGCCGATAGAAACAGCTTTTATGACGTTGCTTTCTTTGTCGCAACCCTGATAAATCCGCCCGCGTTTTGACTATGACATAACACCATGTGACCGAACGGCCTTGCAGACCCTCTGACAGTGTCCTGGGTTCCTGGTTATTCTACTTTATTGAATTTTACCTCTTCCAGCAGTCGAGTGACAGCGTCAATGTCGCTGTAGGTCTTCGTCATCTGGCCCACTCTGTCAGCACACAACACTGCAGACACAGAAACAGTGAAAGCAACTGAGTGCTGAACATTTCCAGAAGAAGCTTTAACAGTTCTTTTTTTTTTTTTGGACTCTGTAATATAAATCATGTTATTAAATCATAATCTAGGCTGATTTCATGTTTGCTTTCATATCACTCAAGCCAGAAAAAAGCACTATGGGCAACTTTTTTATTGCCTCTTTAAAGATTTTCCATTTCTGTCATACATGCAGATACCGCCAAAGAAAATGAAAGGTAACATTTAATATAATAGAAATAAATAATATATTATTACAATTTTTGATAAAATGTCAGGTTGGATGCTTTAAGGAGTTAGTTTCTATTTTCATACCTGACAAACATGACCTGTATAAAAGTAAATACTTATAAACATGTCCAGTTTTGGGATTTACTTACCTGGATGATTGAGCATGCATTAAGACATTTGTACAATAATGTGTTGGAAGAAAAGGCATTTTTTCTCCCCCATATAAAGCTCATAGTTATAATGGGTGTGGGCTGTGGGTGTGGAGTGCATTAGCTTTATTTGTCTTCATGCATATGCCCGGTTTTACAGCCCTGTGCAGCACAAAGTGCAGACTGGACTTGACAGCACTAAAGTCATGAAAGCATAAATACGCCAACAATGACCCTACGCATAGCTCAGGGTTTTTGTTCCTAGCAAATGACTCAGAAAAGATAAGTTATTGAATACTGACACAGAGGTCAGAGTGAAGGGCCACGCCTCAGCCATGCTGCTTATTATTAACTCCCTCAGTCCTCAAACAGAAGTTTACATCTGTATGACTTCATAGTATAATTTGGAAACATCATTTATAGACAGATAACCTGCATAAAACAACAAAACTAGCTTGTCTGTTCCTTGATACCAACTTGTTTCATTCAAATTTATTTAAAAAAAAATATAGCAACCTTTTTAGAAAGTATCTTCACTTGTGAGTGCAGTTTTTTTTTTTTTTTTAAGTTTCCACTGCATGAAAAGTGAGACTTTCATAAATGAACATTGCTATAAATTCCTGTGGAAATGCACATTAACGGCAGAAACTCGGGGGCAGGGAAGAATGTTTCACACCAAGTTTCAGCCTGAAAGGACTGCCAGTTCACCCACATACCCCTGCTCAGGCCCAGGGGAGCCTTTAAAATGTAAATGTTGTGAGCTATACAAATGCAAATCATAGTAGTATGGAGCCATCAAGCTCCACTAGTTACACACATTTCTAAAAAGGTACCAACTCTCTTTTTGATCAGGCTTATTTTAGTTGTAATCCCATAAATTGTCACTGATAGATTTGCAATATGTCGGTAAGCTCACTAAGATAAATTATGTTATTTGTAACCAATAATAAATTGTTAATAAGTAATTTCATCAACATGCTAAACTGTGTGACGTTCTGGCAGAATGCAAAAGAGAGCCGGCCAATGTAAACAACAGATTTTCATGTCCTTGTGTGGTGCAGACCTCATATGGCTGCTGGAAACAAGGAAAAGGATGCTTGATGGAAATAAAAGTTAATAATAGATTAAATCCTTAACTAAGTAAGCTAACAAAGGTAGGAAACGTTGAAGCACTACGAAGGCATTTTATTTGATTAAATAAGGGCACCTTGGCTTGTTTGTCATTTTGGAGGTTTTCCAGGCATGCACAAGTGGAATCATGCACCTGCTGGAGAGATTATGCATCTCATCTCTATTGAGAGGAGTCTTGGGATCTCTCTGGAAGAACTGGAAAGTGTAGGGAGAAGAACGTCGAATATCCTGCTTTGCCTGCTGTGAGCTGACTTGCATAAGTGGAGGATGGATGGATGGCACAAGTGTGCTGACATGCCAATATTCAAGCTACCTTGATAGTAATACTAAAAATAAATTGAAAAAAACAGTCCCACTTCAAAGAGGTTGTTCACAAAAGGCTAACTATCTGTCAGACACAAGTGTGTCTCACACACACACACACACACAAAGAGAAACATCCACGCTCAGTCTTTTCTCATGTTTGCGTTGCTGAACCACAAACTTAATGGAATAATTTGGTATGAGGAAACTTGTGTACGTGCACTCATGCACAGACACAGAGACACAACACCCACAAGACATTTATTTACTTGATACCTGGCCTAATAGAGGACTCTGCTGCAGATAGTGAGAGTGCAGCCTGTTTACCTCCCATCTATCAAACTCTCCATGCTGACTTGGTTCCATGGTAACACTCCACCCAGGTCAAACGGCTAAGCTGAAAAAAGTGAGGATGGTTTGACTAACAAAAGCTGATCTGACTACAGAAAGTCTGTCTATTACTGACTGACTTTAATAAGCCAGTCTGGTGAGAAACAGGCATTAAAGACAAACAGCACAGGTTAGAGAAGGTGACTGTAACCTGGATTATCAAAGAGGAAGCGTAACCTAATTCTGCAAGGTGAGCAGGATGCTTTCTTGATATATAATCCAAAGTCTGGGTAACTTAAGACACGCACACACCATCTCTTTCTATTTATTTTGCTCCAAGACAATAACAAAGGCAAGGGGACAGCAGACAAGTGGTCCTGTTCAGCAGCTGTGAAAACTATGTGGGTTTTGAAGATAGGCAGGACTAAAGACAATCACCTTAAACACAGATATCTTACAGAGTTGGTGACTCTGTATTTAGAGCCATAATGTAATCAAACCTCCACGTGAGCACACCCTCGTGGCCTTCGGTTTTGTGTGTGCAGCAGAAGTAGTGGGTGCGCTTGAAGTCTGGAGTTACAGACATTATAATAACCTAAATTGTAGCACACAGGTTCATAGAGAAGAAAAGAAAAGAAAACAGAAAGGAAGCCCTGTTATTCACATTAATACCCCAAGCACAGCCTGTGTAGACCATTAAATACCACGTCTTTAGCTGGAGCAGCACGTATTTATCTTAACAGCCACTGCAAAACATATCCATGTAACAGCAGCCGACGTAAACGCGCTGACCAAACACTTCACACATTATCGAACATTAATGCGAAAAGACTTTTTTTTCTTGCTTAACAAATTGGCATTAGTGTACGTGCACATCCCTCATGATGCACATCCTTCTCCCTCATCTCTTTTTAAGGATCCCTGAAACAAACCCTAGAAGGATTAAACACAGACCGAGTGCGTTTGCAGTTCAAACTGCAGCCTGCTGGCTCTTCATATCAAAAACAAAAGTCACAGCTGAGATGAAAAGCCAAGCCCATATTTGAACTTGTCAGCCCAGCAGGCAGGTGAACCGTGCTGTGTTGAAACCAAACACACAAATAATCAACATCAGGGAGAGTACCTGCTGGATGAAACCACAGCCACAGGAGATATGATGCCTACAGAAAGGTTAAATGGCGTCTGTTATTTTTATATAGTTCCAAATCGTATCAACAGGTGTCTTACTGCACTGAGTGATAAGGATTAACAAAAGTAACATCAAGAGATTTAGTCACATCTCACTGCTACCTTCACACAGAACTTGCTGCTCTTCATCCATTTCTTCATCCCCTTCGGACCTTCCATCACTGGGAAAACTGGTATATTCTTCCTCCTCCTCCTTTTCTTCTTCTTCCTGCTCCGTGCTCTCATGTTTCGGCAAACAAACATATTCTTTATCCTCGTTCAGCAAATCCAAATTGTCCTCATCGCCATACAAGAAGAGTGCCATCCTCTCCCCTGACGCTTCAGCTAACGAGGTACAACACCATGGTTTCTACCTGTGTGTGTTTTAATCCCCTAGTCTGTGTGTGTGTATGTGTGAAAGTATGCAAACAATGCTGTGTGTGTTCCGAAGGCAACTGACTTTGAGTTTCTCCCTAAATGTCATGTGCCTCTCTGTGCACTCCATGGTACATGTTTGGTAAAGCCTGTGTGCGTGGACCTGCTTCTAATTGAATTTCTAAGCGTGTGTGTCATTTCTATGGCAGCTCAGTGAGACAACCAAACTCCTCCCCTTTTTCTCTGTGGCCAGTCAGTGAATGGCCTTCTCCACTCTGCCACAAACATCGGGTAAACTGGCACACTCCCTCAGGTCAACAATGTAACAAACAATTTAACGAAAAATAGGTTAAAACGGATTTAATCAAGCAGATGAGGGCATTGAAAATGCATAACATTTATGCCTTTAATTCTCATCTGTGTTATCCATCCAGTGGTTTACTAATGTGTGGTCGCTGTGGTTCAGACCAACAACAACAGAGACAACCAAAAGAGAATTCTCCTTGAACAATTCCCAACAAAAAACAGTCACTTTACAATCGGCCCCCCCTACCCTTAAAATAACTTGGTACAGTCCTGCTCAGCTCTATGGTGACAATAGGGCAGGGCATAAAATAACACACAACCTGTTTCCAGGGCTGGGCCAGACACACAAACACACACCTTCACAGGTGAATGTTTTTGCATACTATAGTTAACGTGCAGACAGTGTTATCAAGAGAGTCAAGAGATAAGCAAGGGCACTTTGAGCTGAGCTGCTTAGAGATTTTCCATGAAGTCAATCAGAAGAAAGACTGAAGAATAAACTCGTTTTATGAGATATACTTGTACAGCCATACAAATTGACCCTACAAAACACAAGGCACTGTGAACCCTAATCTTGCATGAACTGCATTTACAAGGTGAGCTATAATAAAGCTACTTTGGGTTGTTCCCCTATTTCCCAGGGGTCGCTACAGCGGGTAGCTTCTCATGTTTGATTTGGCAGATTTTATACACCAGATGCCCTTCCTGATGCAACCCCAAAGGCATCTGTGTCTCCTTCTGGCTTGTTAGCCCAGTGTGTGATGCAAAAGCAAAAATATTTCTTTTCATTGAATGGGGACATACAGGAAGTGGATGACTAAGACACAACAACAAAAGAGTTTGCAAAGAGTGGACAGACAGAGTTTCAGTTTGGCATCAAATCTCATGCCTCAAGTTCCTGAGCAACAAGCCAACCGCTGACATGAAACAAGCCATTCAAAAACAAAACAAAAAAGATTCCAGCAAAGTTTCACAACATT